GGGGCGCGTACTAGGTAAACATTTTTAATGGACTACAATCCAGCGGTTGAAAGCTGTTCGATAAATTCTTGCGACTTCGGCGGGAACCGCTAGGCGCCGCTACTCACCGGCTTTCCTATTCTGCCTGCCCCTCCACCGCCCGCATTTCCTACTCGGTAAATCAAACTGGGCGGGGGCTGGGGGGAGGGGTGCTCCCGTTTGACCGTGACTGGGGTCAAAGGGTCAACCTCAGAAACAGGTTTTAAATAGGGAAAACAAACAAACTACTGGGGGGAGAGGGGAGCGGTTTACATGAGAATACGTGGCTCCTTTGAATCAGAAAACCCTTAATCCTTTCCCGAGAGGAATGGCGGCTCAGCAAAGGTGCCGGCCCGCCGCGCCCCTCTGGGTCTCGCCCTTTGCTCGCCTAGCGACACTGGAGGAGGCCCGAGGCCGGCAGATCCGCTACTCGGTGCCTACGGAGCTAGAGAAAGGCTGTTTCGTGGCAACGCGCCTAGGATCTGAGCCTAGATCCCTGTGAGCTGGTAGGACGCAGAGTCCCCATCATTTCCAGAGGTAGGACAAGGCTTTGTACCATCGGGTTGGGACACGTATCTATATAGAGCTAAGAAACTTGATGGAAGAGAGCTGTGTGGCTCCAGAGCTCTGTTCGCGCCGCTTCATGGTTCTTGTTGAGGAGCCATACAGCTTTATGCAGCAGCAATTCTGGGAAGCAATGACTATAGGCCTAGTAGGCAAGATGTGGTTTTGGGCATCATTGTGGGTACCGCTGTAGCCTACCTCCAACTTTTTCTCCCAGATCCTTATAATTCCAGCTTTGGAACGAATTTTCTTAAGGTTTACATTCTAAGCTCTAGGCGGTATTTTACCTTGGGGGTAAAAACAAAATGGGGAAGGGGTCAGGTGTGCTGAAATGATTCTTCCATTCAGGAAGCTTTCCTTGTCTGATTCTTTGGCTCCCAGTTAACATTTTAAAGTGTGGCACCCAAAAGCAGATTGTGCATGGGTAGTTTGTCAATAGGTAGACTTTAGTGTAGTGGTAGACAGTGACCAGGCCTTTTGTGTAGATAATACCCAAATGTCAGTATTTGGATTTCTTTTCTCTGGGCTCACATGGTTTCTTCAGAGAATAATCTTACAGTCTTGACTCTGTTTGTGTGTGTTTGGGGGTGATGTATGCTTTGGATACTGATTTAATGAGACCAAAATAGGGTAAGAGGGGTGACATCCTGCAGTAAAGAAAACATATTTTCACATAACCCCCTTGTTTAATGTTATACATCCCAGCCTTCATCTGGACCTGCCTTCTCTGAGTTTGAGCCTTTGGTTCAATTTATCCAGAAAATAAACTTTCCATCTGTGGGATGGGTAAGTAAGAGTTACCTGGCTTCCTCGAGTGACATAGGGATCCTGCACATCCAGCTGTGAACACACTTTAATGAATCCTGTTTCCAGCCCCACTTCCGTCTTCCTTGGAAACTTTGCCTGCAAAAATTGTCTCACAGTTTCTTTATCAAGTGGGTGTGTCTCTCTCTCTCTTTCATATACCCCCTTGCAGACATTTAGCATGTAACTTTCTGTGATTTCTCAATTATCATTTCTTCATCTGCTTTGCCCTTCTGAAAACAGGTTGACATTTCTCATTCACTGTTGTCTCATTTCCTATTCTTTGTCTTTGGGGCTTACTATGTTATATTGGCAGGCTTTTTGATAGAGAAAAGATATGTGAGAACAACGCACCATTTTAAACTAGAAAAAAATGTTAAATTCTTCGTATCATATTTGAGGGATTTTTAAAAATGTTTTGGTATCACCCTCAGGAAAGTCAATGGGGGAAAATCATATTTTAATACTTATTATGGAGGTCCTATCAAGTTTTCTAGAGGAGCATTCAGTTTTAACTACTGTCAATTAATTACATATGGTTCATTGTTAATTTTTTAAAAACACACAAGAGATACTTTTGCATTAAGTTCATATATGTATGTTTTGGAGAAACCAAACTAATAATGAAGGCCAGGTAGGGCATTAATAGGGAAATGGTCTTTACCTTCATTGAATTGTCGGACATAGTTGCACAAATAGTGACAGAAAGAGATTGAGTTCCATAAAGTGTATTTAAACAGCTGGACTTGGAGAGAACACACTTCAGCAAATACTGTAACACTGCCCAAGACACTGGGCAGTCATAAACATCTGAAACCATTTTTTCCCCGATTCTAACTAACCAGAATTATGCTTCTGTTTTGAATTTAAGCACATGTCCTCCCAAGCATACATGGAAAATAATGGCAAAGGAACTTCCAACTTTTCAGTGAAGACCACCACCCTTGACTAGATGTGAACACCCACATCACATGTTCCCTAGCAATTAGATTGAGTGGCCAGGTAGGATTACCAGAGAAAGTGAGGTTTGAGCTGAGGCCTGAGTAACAAAAAGCTAGCCATGAGAGGATATGGAGACTGTTCCAGGAAAAGGGAACTGTAAATGCTAAATAAAGCTCTGTAGTGAGAAAGACCTGGGCATTTGAAGTACAGAAAGGCCAGTATAGCTGATGTTTGGTGGGCAGTCTTCCTAGTCTGTTTTCACACAGAATTCTTACTGGATAATAAGATAAGCAAGAGGTCAAGACACAGTCCTTCAAAGACATGAATTGTCACTATTTGTCCAAATTTCTCATCTCAAATAAACATTTGCTCTCCAAATTCAAAATGTCAGGCTTTATGACATTTTGAACTGAACACAAAGATCCCACTTACCTAATCTATAGATATAGTGCAAAATGGAAGCCAGATTGATGTGCTTATGGCAGCATTCTGTGTAATAGCAAATTTAAAATGGAACAATGTAAGTGACCAGCAATAGGGGAGTGGATAAAATCAAGGGGAAAAAAAAATCTGTATCATGAAAAATAGCAGGAAGTATCTATGTGCTAATATGGAAGGATACTCGTAATAAATTTTTGAGTGATAAAAGTTTTAGAATAGTATCTATAACAATATATATTTTTTGCTTTACAAAATTATATATATATGTATACAATTAATTGTACACCAAGTAAAGGCCTGGACCAATACATCTCAAAAAGTTACCCTGGAAAGTTGGTGTGAAAGGGACAACTTTACTTTGTATTTTTTGCAAAATTTTTGCATTACTTAAAATTTTTCAGTTACTCTTCTTATTCCTGTATGTTAAAACACTAATTAAAGAAAATTCAACTGTTCATCAACTCAAAAATACTGAAAACTGCAGCCCAACTGAACATCATACTCATCAGGCAAGGGAGCTGGG